TTAATCACATCACTCTGTTATTCAAATCAGCTACTAGATCACTATACCAGCAGAACAAAATCTCAACTACTTGTAGTGGTTGAAGGTCTGTTAGTCTATGACTCGAACTATAGCTACTACAATTCCCCACCCCATATCCTCCACTAAAAGATTGCTCCATAATTAAGATCAGAACCAATGTCAGTATCAAAACAAATCACTGCCTTAATCTCTATACCTTATTTTTCATCAAAGAAAATAGTTTTAAATTGATTGAAATTAGGAGGTGATTATCTGAAAATCAAGGTAATAATCTCCTTCCCTCGACAACCTGCCATTTTGTCCAATTCTTCAAAATGAATTTCAAATACCAACTTCTAGGTGAAATCAATGAATTATGTTTGTTCTCTTCCATATCTCTGTTATATAACTTAGTAAGCATCGCCATAGATTATCTTCCTGTAGAATCACACATCCAAGGTTGAATGTGTCTAGGAAGCATATTTTAGTATCCACTTCAGCACCTTTCATAATGTTTTGCATATACTTGATGATCAATAAATATTTGTTAAATTACTGATATGCCTATCATTTATTGCTGTACCCTTACTGTGTGTAATCCTCTGAGTATTCTTTGTATCCAAAGGAGATTTGGGTTTATAACTATAGAAGAAGAGAGGACATGACTTTGACTTACTGTAGAAAAAGCAATGAAGAGAGTAAACGTGGTTTATAGCCCAAACTCTATGAAGAGGTACCTGTTGCTATGCCCAAGTACCTTCTACCATTTCAGTGAATCAGTCTTTTGAATAACATCAACACAGCATATATTATTTTAGGAAACTATACATTTGGGCACTACATTTTCTGCCATTCCACGAGTTCTTTCTCAATGTTACATATCATTAACAGGAAAAAATAATCAACTCTCCTGTTAATACTCTATAGAAATTAAATACAAGAGTGGTGTTCTTTGGATAGTGGTAAGCATGCCACAGCAAGATAACAACATCAAAATACCTATAAGGTTTGCAACTTACATTTTTATTATATCTCAATGCCTATCATCCTAAAGTATAATTACATATTAAATATGACTAAGATTCTCTTTCTGCACAGAAATAATGATTGTGAGTGGGGTTCAGGGAGATTGCACTGATTGTTCAGGGTCACACAGCTAGTAACTACTAGCACTGATACATCCCACATACTGTGGTATGGCATAAGAAAAGGAAAAAAAATGTTTCTTTCACATCCATAATATGTAAGACAAAATCTCTTCCTCCTCACTTCTAAAAGGAGCCTTCTGATTATAGTTCCTTCAAGACAGATTCGTTTGTTGTTCTGACAGTCTATGATACTGTCCATAATCTTCACCAACACCATTGTTCCAATACATCAATTCTTCTGGGGTCTCCCTTATTCAAGTCCAACTTTTACATACATATGAGATGCTTGCACATACCATGTACTAATTACAAATTACTACCCCAAAAAACCCCAAAACTCTCTGCCATCGAGAGGATGCCAACTCATAGCTACCCTCTGTAGGTTTCCAAGACTGTAGCTCTTTACCAGGTAGAAAGCCCCATATTTCTCCCAAGGAGTAGCTGGTGGTTTTGAACTGCTGAGCTTTCCAATCTCAGTCCAACTCTTAACCACTAAACCATGAGGACAGCTTCTGATAATTTACTGCAGATTTTAAAATTTTATCCTAGGAATACTTGAAAGTATAAATGCACTATATAAACACGTGGGTGTAAAGTGACACTCCACATGCATGAATGCCTATCACAAAGTCTAGCACATAACAAGCACCCAATATGTGCTTGTTTCCTTTACTTGAGCCTTTCTCTTCATGCACAACATTCACATATACACAAATACCAGTTGCTTCACATCGATCCCGATTCCTGACTACCTTATGTGGTCCAAGTAAAGTGATGCACAGGGTTTCTGTGGCTGAGTCTTTTGGTGAATCTATCACGAGGAGTTTCTTCTGGGGCACATCCCCCTGGCAGTGGAGCTCCAGCATTCAGCTTAGTCACTGAGGATGTTAACCAAGTGTACCACCCAGGGGCTCCACGCATATCTGTCCTGGTTTGTTGCCATTGAGCACGCTTTGACTCATGGCTACTTGGTGGACAAGTATAATGCAGCAAATTATAGCCTGTTCCTGGACACCTTTAGGATCTTTGATAGCAGGTCCCCTGCACTGTATATATAATGTATATACCTAACAAGACACACAATGTGTTTGTGTGTGTACAAACGATGTAGGCATTCAGCTCTTGCTTATATTAGAACTTAGTAGGTAGAAAGCACCCACGTATCATTTTTAAAAATTAGTTTGTTTATATGTAATGGTTTCATCGACATGCAGTTCAGGTATTGCACATTTCAATACTTCAACCACATTCCAGAGTGTTGTGCAATCAGCACCACGGTCAATGCCAGGACAGGTCTTCCTTGTGCTCCTTGTCGTGAGCTTGCCGTTGCCTGTCAGCCTCACCCTGCCATGTTCCCTTCAATCTGCGAACACAGTTGTCTTTATAGGTGCTGGTGAACCCTCTCTGACAACTGATCAGAGATGGGAAGGGCCTTGTTATCAGACAGAGTCCACTAAAAATGTCATAGCTTGACATTGATCTCTCTCTTGAGCCAATTTTTAAAATTTTGCTCGTTTTTAATATTTTCCTCTTTGATTTAGATTGGGAATTTTCTTTGTTTCATTCGGTCATTGTTGGGCTGTTGGTATTTTGGCTCAATTTTGTGTGTTTTTTATATGAAACATTATTTCGATAGAGCATTCAGTAAAGGTGGTTTTCCTATTTCTAATGCCATTCCACTGCCGCAACCAGATTTAACCAGAAGACATTCCAACAGGTGCATGTGTTGTCAGGGAGGCATTGAAGGCCCGGGGCTCTGCAAACACATGAAGTGCAAATCATGAAAGGGTAATAGTCACTACCCTGAAACCCTGAGATAATTTCCCCATGTTCAGATGGCTCCGCAGAGGCTACCATCTGTCATTCACTCTTCATCTTAATGCCCCTGCCAGTCAAGTAGTCCTGTTTCGCCTCACAGACCTGCCTTCTACTTCATAGATTTCCCTCCTCCTGGACAGAGAAATGATAAGTGTAGGTGTGGCCATTGAGCAATAAAGTAGAATACAATTTTGTAGCATACGTTGACCTTTCATCCAAAGAGAATTGGAACTTGGATTCAGCAGACTAAGTTCACCCTCAAATAAATATTGTAGTCACTGAATATGCCAGTATGTGAAAAATAAACAAAATTTTATATCCTTAAGCTTTTTACCATAAAATAGATTCCATAATAGCTTTCCAGATATATGAAGAACATACCCACTGGACACGCTATCAGGAGAGACCAGTCCCTGGAAAAGGACATCACACTTGGCAAGGTGGCGGGGCAGCAAGAAGAGAGAGGCCCTGGATAACATGGCCCGATGCTGTGGCTGCAACAACGGGCTCAGGCATTTGTGAGGACAGCCCAGGCCCAGGCAGCATTTGGTTCCATTGTGCATCGGGTCACTTTGAGCTGAAACCAACTCAAAGGTACTGCACGACAACAGCGACGTGCATTTGATCTGATGCTGCTGTCTTTGGGCCTGTCATTGTGTAATGTAGTTAGGAAACTCTCCTTTGAAACAAATGCCACGGCCAATGTAAGTGTCAAAAACGAATCCATGCCTTCATGAGGACCCTTTCCCCCCTTTTTATCACCAACAATACGTTGCAGTTGGAACCAAGAGTGGATGATCTAAGAAGCAAAATAAGCACGGGTTTACTTGTGTTTATTACTATACGTAGGGAACTACATGTAGTAAACCACGTGAAATTGTTCACTGTAGATTAGTAAGTAAGCACACATAAATATGTGCTTATCTTGCTTACTGGATACTACTTCCCGGTCAGGATTGTTAACTTAAAAGCAAAACAAAAAAGTCTTTGATTTTATAAGAAGGTTTTGTGGGATTACAAATTAGAAATCATCCTTACCTTAAAATATATTTTTGATGTGGTAAAAATTATGAAATTGTTCACCATAGATCAGTAAGTTAGCACAAGTAAGTCTGTGCTTGACTTGCTTATTGATATTTGTGGAACATGATATGCCATGAAATAAATAACCTTAAAAATTCACACAGAAAAATGTTTCCCAGTTTTCTGTTAGGAATTCTGCTTTTTTTATTTTGTTCAAAAATAGGTGAGTAATTTTAATTTAGCCCAATTATTATATGTATTAAACAAATGCTTCAAACAAAAATCAAGCTGACAACTTGGCTAAGCATAATTATTTATTGAAATGAAAAAATGAATGAAGTAAATAAAATGTTTTTTAAATAAAGATGTTTCTATGTAGTTACTTTCTTCTAGAATTCTGAAATAAAAAAATACAAAATTGAGTGCATTGTACTTTTCCATGTTAGAGTCCTTTTATAAGATTTTGACCCAAATCTTATAGATGATTGAATTACTCATTTTCTCTTTCAATACACTTGTTCCCAAGCTACTGACTTTGAATAACTTCCAAAATGAAAACAAATCTCCCCAGAGGAAAAATAAATTGGCACCTTTTCGGTAAAAAAAAAAGTTTGCTACAATTTTAAAGACGACGCTGAGAGTAATTTTAAGAGTGTTTGTATATGGTTGTTATAATGGGAATAAGTATATGGCCTTCTACAATGTCTGTTTTGGTTGGATGATTTAAGAAGAGGAGATCCTATTAAAATTTTAGCAATACCAGTTTATAGTGATCCTTTATCCATGAAAAGCTTTGCACAAAACATCCAGTTTTATGGGAGGTGGGAGTACCACTTCCTGGGTTATAAAGAAGAGTTCTGATGCCGCCTCACACAACAAGGAGGAAGAGAGTGTGTATACAGAGCTAGCCCTTCTCAAGGTATATAAGGGTCAAGCCTAGTAAGGGGTTCAGTCACACTCAAGGCACTTGATCCTTTCCACTCAACCACAGCCTGATCTAGAAAACTCATTATGTCTTCCCGCAACTACTGCTCTGGAAACTACAGCTCCAGATCCCTGAGAAATCCCTGCCATACTCCAGGTTCTTCTTCCATTGCCTTCTGCACTAACAGTGTGAACTATGGAGATGCCATCTGCCTACCCACTAGCTGTCAAGGCAATTCCTGGATCGTGGACAACTGCCATGAGACCTACAGTGAACCAACCAAAGACAACTGTGGTGAACCAGCCATCTGCCAGCCAGCCAACTGTGAGCGCAGAACCTGTGAAGCCTCCTGCTGTCCTTCCACTGCTTACTATGTGTCCAGACCCTACCAAGGGACCAGCTTTCTTCCTGTATCTTCTGCTTTCTCTGGTTCTTACCTCCCAGTGTCCTGTAGACCTCTGACCTATGTGTTTAGCGGTTGCCGTCCACTAAGTTCCCAGCTCAACAATAGCCATTCCTTTGGCTGTGTACCCATGGGCTATGGACCACTGAACTGTTTGCCCAACAGCTGTGGACCTGTGAACCTTCTCAATTATGGGTACCGACCCTTTGGAGGTTTGACCTGTGGGCCTCAATCTCTTGGTGTTGTGCCTAACAGCGTCAGGCCTGTTCGACCTCTCTCCAGTTGTTGCCAACCTCTGACCCATGTTATTAGTACTTGTCGTCCATCTTGCTCTGCACTGGGAAACTGGTAGCCTGCTTATTCCAGACTGTAATTATGTGGAAGAACCTGAACCAAAATTCACACTCTGGAGTCTTTGTGCTTAATTTTCAGTTGTGATAGTTATTTCTCTTTAGTTATAGTTATATTTCTCTGAGAAAATGCCAACTTGTTCATTTATTATTCTCCTCTCTCTTTGCCTTGAAATAATTGGATTATGTACTATTCAATGTCACTCAAGTGTGGAAACCATTTGGTTCATATGTAATAAATTAGGTTAAATTACAATATGAATCTTGTTCATTATTGTGTCTCTGATTACTTTATCTTAACCCAGAGCTTACCAACCTCAAGTGCTTACAAGGAAAGCATTAGCAGGGCAGGCAATATGCAACGGTATGTTCTTCGCTTGGTGGCACATTCCGCAAACTGCTTTCTCGACCTCTCATCCCATGTACTTGAAAAATGCAAACCCTCGGGTAGAATTTATATTGAGAAGTAAATATTAGAAACCCTCCCTCTAAGCCCTCTCTCGTCCAGGAAACAGGGTCTTTCTAATTCCAAACTGAATTCATGTTTCCTCTCTACTTCAATCTTTCATGGCTTCATAGGATAAACATGCCATAACATGAGGGCTGGTTTCTCCATTGCCTTCCTTCCTCCTAGTCCTTTGGTTCTCTCCTTGAGCCCTGCACGGCCAATATTAGCAGGTGATGCTTAGTCCATTCTGACGCGTGGTGACCCGGTGTGTGTCAGAGGAGAGCTGTACCCCCATAGGCTTTAAATGGCTATTTTCTTGCAAACAGTTTTCTAGGCTTGTCTTCGAAGGTGCCTGTGACGTGACATGAATCTTCAACCTTTATGTTTTAAGCCTAGTTGGTTAATCATTACAAAGACTAGAACCTCTTAGGACTTAACTTGCAATTTCCCAAACATGCTAATGTTCACAATTCTCCACCCTTTTCTCATCAAGCTGACCAGGCTGTACTTTAAGTTGGTTTTCTGTCTTCCTAACTCTTATTCATATATTAATTTTAAAAGCACAGCCCAGATTTATTTATTAATAAATCAAAGTATTAAACTAAATGATTCCCTGATTATTAAATAGCAGTCCACTATGTGCCAGAAAACCTAGGATATAGAGGGGAGCCAGATAGATCTGAACCCTCAGTGTTTACCAGACATTTCACATTCTTAAGCCTATGCACATAGCTTGATTAAAGACACATTTTTCTTTACTCAACATAAGATTGGGTGTGAGTAAAGATTTCAAAAATTGAAATAAAGATAAGGTGTACAAACTCAAATGCTCTGCTTTTGAGAAATAGAAATGTCGAAATGTGTCTAGACTACCCAGAAAATATCTAGAAAAACAGTGCTTGCTTTCCAACAGACAGTGCATGCCAAAGCTTGTTGTAGTGGTTCCATTTGGAAAAGGACATATGCTTCCAGTTCTCACCGCCCCCATCTTTCCGTATGCATTTCTTGACACTGAAGCAGAATGCCAGGTGCCCGTTACCAGCCTGCCCCCACTACTGAGTTTAAAACCAGTCCAGATCCTTCTTTTGCGTGATGTGTCTGTCTTGGTCTCTTGGATAATCTGTTTCTGAAATCAGCACTTCTTTTGTGAGACCTTTTCCACGCCTTCCATGGGCCCCTAGCCTAGTGAGGAAATCATACCATGACTCAACTCTGCCTTTTCTGTCAGTCACGCTTATGTTGCTGGTCTTGTCAGGCTGTACATTTTTTTTTTTTCAGATTTCCTGTTGCTTCTTTATTTCTTTTTTTTAAATCAATTTATTGGGGCTCATAAAATTCATCACAATACATAGATCAATTGTGTAGAGCACATCTATACATTTGTTGCCCTCATCATTCCCAAAATTCGCTTGCCTCTTGGGTTCCCGGAATCAGCTCATTTTCCTTTTCCCCCCTCCCCCTCCCTTCCTCTGCCCCCCTCCTCCATGCACCCTTGATAATTTATAAATTATTATTATATCTTATATTACACTGCCCGGCGTCTCCCTTCACCTACCCCTCTGTTGCCTATCCCCCAGAGAGGAGGTTATATGTAGCTCTCTGTGATCAATTCCCCCTTTCTACACCCCCCTTTCGTCCTGGTATCGCCACTGTCACCCCTGGTCCTGAGTGGTTCATCTGTCCTAGATTCCCTGTGTTTCCAATTCCCATCTGTACCGCTGTGCATCATCTGGTCTAGCCAGATCTGCAAGGCAGAATTGGGGTCCTGGTAGTTGGGGGGAGGAAGCATTTAAGAACTAGAGGAGGGTTGTGGGTTTCATTGTTGTTATACTGAACCCTAAGTGACTCATCTCTGTACATTTTAAAGCAATATTTGGTTTCAGAAATAAATAAATAAATATGTTTGATGATACTTTAGTACAAATATTCATATGTAAAAATGTATGCATAACTCAGAACTCAATAGGTGCTATCCCTTCTCTCTACCACACATCTTTAGAATTTTAATCTGTGTTGTAGTAGACCTTTGGGATAGGTTTGGATTGCTAACCTCAAAGTTCAATCCCACAAACTGCACTGGGGAAGGAAAATGAGACTGTTCCCACAAAGACCTATGGCTTTGGAAACCCTATAGAGGATTGCTCTGAGCCACAATAAACTCCATGGTGGTAGATTGAGGGTTAGTCATTCTTTGGATTGAGTTGAAATAGGTTTTTTGGTCTCATCTCTCCATAGTTCAGAATTCTAATAGTGGGAGATTAAGAGACATGCTGTATTCAAGTCTATGACTAGACAGGGCCTATAATGCTTCTGTGTTTTCCACATGTAATAATTTTATTTCAGCATACATGTCAGGTTTTTGGTTTAATCACTTTAATACCTGATAAGGAAATTAAGATTGCTCCTTATCTAGTCAAGGTCATGCAGATTATATAAATGACTGATTTGGGAAATGCATCCACTTTTGCTCAAAGTCCGTGTTTTCTCTATTAAACAACATCATCTATCCTATATGAATATTTTTAAGAAACTTAGCATTAATTAATGGATAAGGTGACATATACTGCCTGTGGCTTCATAAGGATCTTTTTTATGACTAAATTAGTGGATGATGTCTTCTGGATAATTAAAATGTAAATTTTTAAAACTATCCAATTGCAAATATGTATTCCCTATGATTAATCCTTTGGATACAATCCACTTGAAACTAGATGTCAAAAGAATAGACTTCGTTTTGCCAAGTCATGAGCTAAAATGATACATTTCCTTACCTAAATAAACTGTAATCAGGAAATCATTTTAGGTTTCTATAATAATCATTTCTGAAGCATCACTATTATATCTGAACTTTAAAATCAGACTCCACGCACAAAATATGTGAGGAGAAAAAAGGAATCATCCTGCTGATCATATCTGAAAAATACTGCGAAAAAAACCCATAACATTCCATTCTGAATAATTATTAGATTTAGCTTTAAGCCAGCCATACATAAGAAAGCAACACAAGGCTATACTAACAGAGTGCCCACATATCTTGGTCCTAGAAGTTGGAAGCTCAGGGCTTTGTTTTGTTTTTCTTTCAAATGATAGCTCATATTAATTATTTCTTGATATACACAGTAGTTTCCTCAGTTTCCATTAGTGTATTAGTTTGCTGAAGAAGAAACCTCAATCCGAGTTGGAGAAGATGAAGCCATTGGGGATGACTCTTCAGGGATGAATCAATTCCCGGTTTGGGCATGGATATGTAAAGATCTTAAAAATTGTCATTCTCCTCTTTGCAGCAAGAGTTAAAAACCTAAAAATGAATTGCTTTTCTTGGTCTCATCAACAACTGAGGTCACAGGGTCAACATGTTTTATGTGATGTGATGTCATGTGATGTGGTGTTGTGTAGTCTTGTGTTGTGATGTGATGATGTGTTACACACTGTATAGTTGATCCTGGCCCACTGCAACCCTACGCACAACAGAAGGAAATAATGAGCATGTCCTGCGCCATCCTCACAATGGTTCCCATGTCGAAGGCCATTGTAGTGACCATTGTGTCAATCTATCTCTTTGAGGACCATCCTTTTTTCCCCTGGACCCCACACTGTATCAAGAATGATGCACTCCATCTTTACAGCAATAAAGAGCTAACAATGAAAAATTGTATTGGATTCATCAGGAAGCTAAGGTTGGAAAGCCAATAGCTATACCAAACTCTGTAGAGATAGGTAAATCTAGAGTCCCAGCCAAGATCTGTTTATCTGGAGCCAAAGCTGAAGATGCTATAATTTAGTGTGCTGCTGTTGTGAGATACCTTCAAGTTGGATCCAACTCTTAATGATCCCACGTACTACAGAGTGAAACACTGCCTGGTCCTGAACCAACCTCACAAAGCTCTTATGTTGGAGCCCATTGTTACAGCTGCTATGTCAACTCATCTCTTTAAGAGTCTTAACCACCCCACAATCCCTTATAAAACAAATAATAAATACCACATCATCACTTAATTCTACAATGCAGAATACATAATAAAGCAGTAAGCATTTTTAATTAAAATACCATATGTTATTCTTCCTAAATTAAATTTATGTTGACAATCTTTATTACAGAAATGTATGCCAAATTATTTAGCAAAATGTTATAGTTTAAAAACAGTAACTACTATGGTCAAATGGTTCTAGCAAATGAGCTTCTGTGAAAGCATAAAGCGATCGAAAATTCAGTTGTGGCAAGTACATTTTCCTTATGCATAAATATCGCTCACTTAATACATGTAACATATCACCACATACTTCAATTCCGTCAAGTAGAATTGTACAACTGTTACCACAATAGGTTTCCAACCATTCTTTTTCTGCAAGCGTTCCTTGACACCATCTCATTTTACCCCACCACTAACAGTGCACTCCCTGAGCTCCCCACTCTACTTGCTGGCCCTAAGGTTCATACATCTTGAGTTTCATATATGGAAACACAGAAAAGCACATAACACAGCTTCAAGAGGGTGACCTCCATTGACATAACACCTATGAGATACACTCGACTATTAAAAAAAAAATCTCAAT